AAGATCTTCTCGTCCTTCCCGACGCCGCCGCATCCTAAAAAAAAAGGATGCGGGGGGAGGCCGGCTCCACGCGCCCGTCCATCGAGGTCCCAGCGAGGCCCACAAACCGCCGGTTGGACATCCGCGTCCTCAGAGGACACGGTAATGAAACGGCTGCTAAAGAGCACTTTAACAAGCAGCACAACACACACACACACACACACACACACTCACACACACACTCCCAGCTGAGATGGAGATCATCGCCTGTGGTCGTCTGTTTGGTGCAACGTCATGAAAGACACACACACACACACACGCGCACGCGGCGTCCTTCGGGGGCTCATGACTCCATCGTCATCGCGCCGTGTGTCTCGGCCGTGCGGATCAGCCAGCAGACGCCGTTTGACTCGCTCGCTGCCAGACTTGTCCGATGACGGAGCGCCGTCGGGGGTTCCGGTCGCAGGGGTTCAAATCTGGTTGAATCGGTTTGAAAAGAAACGTCTCCTGCGCTCCGACCTTCTATGTTTCAACGCCATGTTACCATGAAACCATTTGAGTTCTTACATATAGACTATTTCATGGGTTATTTTATGCAGATTAGCCATTCGCTCATCAACGATTCGCTCATGTGCATCATAAATAAGACTTGAAAGCTCGGTGGACGCGAGAGCGACGGAAAGAGAACTTTTTAGGACACAACAGATTAAATAAATAGAAATAGAAAACTTCACCAGTTGATTTCTGACATTGAGACGATTCATTTGTGTGTCTCAAAGTTTTCTAAAATCGTCTGTTTTAAGATGCAAAGGATTTTTAGGCCGAAAGTCCAAATGATCCAAAGATCGGCCGCTGCGTACTTTAAGGTGACGGAGGCCCCAGCGGTTCGGATGGAGGTCACCGCGGATGTCAGATCTATCGGGTGGATGCCGGGACACCGGGGGGGGGGGGGGGGGCGTCGGTTTGCCCCGATCAATACAAAACAAAACAAAAACAAAAAAACGCACGTGAACACGTTGGGTTTCAGTCTCACCTTCCCACGAAAACCAAGAAGGCGCCGGACAAAAAGGACGAGGAGTCCTGAGCGGCTGCAGGCGCTGACATCATCGCGTGTGACCTTCGGGGGTGGAGGTGTGAGGTGCAGCGTGTTTTTGGAGGTTAGATCCCATCTGAACGGTGTCTGTGAGGGTTCGGATACAATTGCGACTGGACATCATCAGATGTTAATTCTGAAGAAGATATTAGTTAAATATTCATGTATCTGTATCTGCATAATACAGATAGGACTAAGGGGAATATAATATATATAACAGGGTGTATTGTCAAATAACATGCTGCGGTGCTGTGGTGTCACTCAGGGTCAAGATAAGATCTTTGTTTGGTGCAAATCAAAGTAATTTAACATCACAAATCATATCGCAATTCCAAAGTCAGTCAAAATGATTGGAATGAAATATGTTTTCAAGATCAAGATAAATATCTTTCAAAAGTCAGAAACACTGTCCTTCACTGTGTTTTCTTTTTAATTCTGCATTTTTTCAAGACTAATTTTAAGAATAATTAATTTAACAATAATCCTAAAGAGACCCAGACGAGTGTGTCAACAGATATTAGTGAGTCAATAAAGACGAGCAAAAAACTGAACTGAAGCGCCCGCTTCTCTCTGCGGCCCGGTGCACTCTGGGTAAACATTTCCCAAGTCGAGCCTCATCCGTGTGAGTCATGTGTTTACCTGCAGAGGCGTGTCGCTCAGCGACGGGTTCATTCACACCTTTACAGCTTTTACGAGTACTCTAAACCCAATACTAGAGTATTCTAAATACTCTAAACCCCATAATATAGTATTCTAAACCCAATACTAGAGTATTCTAAATACTCTAACCCCCATAATAGAGTATTATAAACCCAATACTAGAGTATTCTAAATACTCTAAACCCCATAATAGAGTATTATAAACCCAATACTAGAGTATTCTAAATACTCTAAACCCCATAATAGAGTATTATAAACCCAATACTAGAGTATTCTAAATACTCTAAACCCAATAATAGAGTATTCTAAACCCAATACTAGAGTATTCTAAATACTCTAAACCCAATAATAGAGTATTTTAAATACTCTAAATCCCATAATAGAGTATTCTAAATACTCTAAATCCCATAATAGAGTATTCTAAATACTCTAAACCCCGTAATAGAGTATTCTAAACCCCATAATAGAGTATTCTAAACCCAATACTAGAGTATTCTAAACCCCATAATAGAGTATTCTAAACCCAATACTAGAGTATTCTAAACCCCGTAATAGAGTATTCTAAACCCAATACTAGAGTATTCTAAACCCCGTAATAGAGTATTCTAAACCCAATACTAGAGTATTCTAAACCCCGTAATAGAGTATTCTAAACCCCATAATAGAGTATTCTGAACCCAATACTAGAGTATTCTAAACCCCGTAATAGAGTATTCTAAACCCAATACTAGAGTATTCTAAACCCCGTAATAGAGTATTCTAAACCCAATACTAGAGTATTCTAAACCCCATAATAGAGTATTCTAAACCCAATACTAGAGTATTCTAAACCCCGTAATAGAGTATTCTAAACCCCATAATAGAGTATTCTGAACCCAAAACTAGAGTATTCTAAACCCCATAATAGAGTATTCTAAACCCAAGATTAGAGTATTCTAAATACTCTAAACCCCATAATAGTTCTCTAAATCCTAGATCAGAGTATTCTAAGTACTCCGAACCCAATATAATATGGTATTGTACACCAATGTACTCTCCTGGCTTCCACCTGCTCGTGTCCGCGCTTCCTGATCGTTGCCGTGTCACGTGACCTGCCGACCTGAGGACTTTCGCGTACTTCAGTGATCTCTAAATATTTAGCCGATCCGACAAGAACGACACTATTTTTCAAGCGTGACGAACGAAGGCGGAACGCGGACCGACGTCATCAAACCCAAAGGGGCGCAAAAAAACCGTGTTATTACTTTGTGGGTTTCCTGCCATCGTGTCTCAGGACACATATCCGCCCGGAGGAAGGTTCTACCGTTACCGTAAAGGCTGAGGACGGCGGAACGGCCCCTTCAGGTCTCAGGCCTCGTTCAGACAGCAGGTCTGAGGGTCTCTGCTTGACCTTCTCGTTCCGCTGTTCGCCTCGTTTCCATCAGAACGACAGATGTGATAAACTAATCCAATGGATCTGTCAGAACCGCACGTCTCCACGGCTCCAGCAGGTAACCTCCTGCCTGGCCGTGAACCTCATTCCGGTTCCCAAGCCGTGATCCTGGACCTCAGCGTCCCACGTGCTGCCCGGCGATGAGTCACAACGCGCCCCATCGGGGGGGTCGAGAGCCCGCCGAGGAACCGGGGAACCCGCTGTCCGCAGGAGGGACCATGCTAACGGGATACCTGTGGAGACCCTGTCGGGGACCTCCTCGGTCTGCTCCGTCAGCTCCATCATGATGCAAACTGCCCCCGACCCCCGACCCCCCTCCCTCCATCACCTCCTCTCTGCTGTGACTGTATCACATCTGCAGGAGGCTCCTCACGTTTCTCCTCCTTGTGAAATCTTTCTCCGACCTCAACCAGCCTCTCCGGGAGGAGGAGGAAGATGAGGAGGAGGAGGAGGAGGAGGAGGAGGGTGAGGAGCCCCCCCCCCCCCTCCTCGGACCAATCCTCGTCCATGTGATCGATGCACAAGCGGCGGCGCGCCAATAAGCTGCTAATCACAAACATCAGGTCCGACCGGAGACGCGGTGCGCGTCATTATCGGGGTGAATAACGTTGTCGTTACACTCACTCGTCTGGTCGCGTGTCCTCGCACATCTTCCCCGCGTTACCTCCGGTGACAACCGGCTCCCGCCGCGGCGCCGCGGGGCGGGTTCTCATGTTCTCTCCCCCTCAAGGAGGGTCTTTCTCCCCATCTCCCGTTGGGCTTCGGCTCCCGGACGCGGGTTTTGTTTCCTCGGCTCTCCGCCCCCCCCCCCCCCCTTCTCTTCCTCCTCCTCCTCCTCTTCCTCTTCTTCCTCCTCTCCTTTCACTCCTCAATTACTAGAGCGCGTCCGAGGAGGCGCATCCGATCTCCTCTCCCTCCTCCTCCTGCTCCTACCCTCTTCCTCCTCCTCCTCCTCCTCCTCCTTTACTTCCTCCCCCGCCGGACCGGTCTGGAACGCCGTGACCGAAAATGGTGCGCTGGTGTCGGTGAGGATGGCCCCGGACGAGCCCCATCTCGTCCTCACTCCATGTTGGAAACGGACCGAGGAAGAGGAGGAGGACGAGGAGGACGAGAAGGAACGGTGACGTCAGACCCGAAGGACTGCAGAGTCACGTGCTTTTACCAAATTATAATAAAGATAATTGAACATTTTGTAATTTGCAAAAAAAATAGCTATTAAAAATACACCTTTTAAAGCTATTTTAATTCTAAAATACGTGCTATCATTAAATATGTCGTTTTTAAATGATAGTATGTATAATATCAGTTGCAATTAGAAGTATTATACATGAGCAATTGAAAACTGGAACAGGTACAATGAGAGCAGCATAGTGTTAAGTATCCCTGTACCAGTAGTACCACTACTGAGTAATGTATTGTGTATGTGAGTTTTCAATAGCGGTAGTAATAGAGGAAGGACTGTAGTAGTATTAGGAGTAGTGGGCGTAGTATCAGTACTGTAACAAAGTGCACATGATAGCATCCTTCTTAAATATCACACAAACACTGTTAACATGTGTTTTCATTTGTATAATTTCCTGTGAGCAAAGAAGACCGCAACGTGATTTTCAGGTAATTTCATATTTATTCACAAGCACCTGTGCAAACAATTCTTCAAAATAAGAGCCGCACTATCGTTCCTTCAGTTTGACGTCAGCTGTCACATCTGTAAACCCCTGTGTTTTAGTGACACCTGGCGGCAGGGTCGTGCTACAGCAGCTTCACTCCACATCTGCTCCACAGCTGGTCTCTACAACAATCTTCAGTGTTTGATGTTTATTTGGTGAAGAAATAGTAGAAGTGACCCTCTGCATGTGTTTTATTTAATCACAGTTTGGTGTAGATGCTCAGCTTCCTGTCCAGTGTTTTAGAGTTTGATTAATAAAATCTTCTGACCTTTGTATGATGTCCAGTCCAGGCAAAGCTACGTGTCAGAGTTGGACACATGAGGTCCTCCGCTGTTCAGAACTCCCGCCGATGGCTAAGTTCATGTTCATTTTAAAGTTTTTAGGGCAATTTTCTGTCTCGTCGCTGACTCAAGAACAGAATGAAGCCTTTTTGTTGTCCTGCCGCACCCAGGTGGTTAACTGGAGTTTCTTTATGTGTATTCTTGCAATAAAGTATCAAAATGACTGCAAAGAAGTACAATCATACGTTATATAATGACATATTAAAATGGACTGTTTGTCTTGTTTTTTTTCTATATTCATTTTTAAAAAGTGATTGCACCTTAGATCCTGTCTGTGTGAGTATTTTATTTTGTATCCATGCAACATTTATTTTGAAGGTATGTGTTGGAGGCGGGACATCTGTGTCTACTTCTCATTGGATAATTGACCAACAGCAGCCACCTGACCGTGTGGTTTTCTTTTTGGACTTCTCTCTGACACAACAGCTGTGCAACAAATTACCTTGAAATATGTGGAACTTCTTTATACTCATAAACACCGTAGAGACCAAAAAAAAATCCAAAATACAGCAAAATGTATGGAGAGAGTGAGCTATAAAACCTTCTTTACTTACAGGCTCATAGCTAACGCTCACTGATATAGACTTATTGTATTTATCCTTCAGAATCATAAACTTGTTTTATTGCCACATAGGTTTGCATTTAATTGTTTTCGGTGGTTGGGTGCATTAATAACGGTGCTAAAGTCATACGACATGATATGAGATAGAAAATGTAATAAATTAATAAAGATTTGTCTTCCAAGCTTCGCATAATCTACAAACGTTGCCATGAAGATGTGCAGAAGTGCCGATTTAACACTCATTTAGAGTGTTAAATCGGTGCAGTTCGTCTACAAACCACCAGGCGTCGCTGAAAACCATAAAAGCTTCAAGTTCGGTTCTTGGTATTGAGAAACCGAGAAGAGCCTGTAGGCCCATCGTTATCGATTCATTTAAAGTAGTATTGCTCATACTGTTACACACACGATAAAATTAAAGGATAAATACAATTGGGAAACAGTTATTATCAATAACGACAAAGACATACTGGCTTTTAGTTTCTTGCATGACTCAACAAACCAAATTAACTGGATGTTTGTTTGTTTGTCTCTTTTAACCTGTGTTCTGCTTTGTTTGTATCCTTCTATTTAAGTGTGCCGGTTATTCTGTGCACACAACATTTGTTACCGTTACGACTGTCATCAGTCAATTTTCTTTAAATTCAATTCCTGTTAAAGTTGCTTTTTGTAGATTTTTTTTACATGATCTAAAATGTCGGGTTTAAGCAGAAGAGGTTGTACAGATCAAAAAGTCTCCTTGTGGTAAAGTTGTGACATCTGGAATTATAAAGCTTCCTTCACAGGCAGATTCAGATTGAACTGTGTTGTTTTCAGTAAAACACTGTTCAGGTTCGTTATAGATTGTGTGGTAACACACATCATTTTTAAGTCGTGAGTTCAGATCATGAGAGAAACCACATCAATGCACCAGTTGACTGTGCAACTCAAAATTTGTCCATTTTGCACAATGTTAAATGATCCAGTCTTAATATAATAAAAAACCTTTATAAAAGCAGCTTTGTTAGAAGAACAACTGTTCTATAACAAATCCCTCAATTTCATAAAAAAACAGCAGTTTTATTTGTTAAAACCTGAGATTGTCTTCAGGGTTTTTTACATTTGACTTTTTACTGTGATATCATATGTGTGTGCTCCGTTATCACAGATTATTGGTTTCAGATCCGCTGGTAAATATTAAGTTTATTTCCTGCTCAGGTTTTTTAAATCCCCTCGTAAGTAAGTGTAACAGATTATTACTGTGATTAATATCAAACTGCTGTTGACACTCTACAAACACTAGATGGAGCACGAGCACAAGAGGTCAACAGTCCCGCAAACAAACTCAATATCTTTACCAAACTCATGATTCCTTCTTATTTTAAACTGATTAATCGTATACTTGAATACGGCCGACTCCTGTTGACAGTGTCAATTCACGTCATCATGCAAGATCAGTACAGAAAGTCATATTAATGTCAAATTAAAGGGAGAAGAACTGGTTATCAGACTTTAAACGGCCAACATGAATATTGTGGTGTTTCACGATATTCAAATATGATTCTGTTATTATGAATTTTGCATATTTATTGTAGAAAGTTCCTTCTACTTTCACTCCAGGCCTTTTGTTTGCATCGGCCCCTGTGCTGTGGCTCCCAGTGGAGCCCCCATTTCCCCCACTTGCCTCATGCAAAGGCCCTAAAACTATACATTCTAACTGAGGCCCCCCTCTGCAAAATGGGGTCCTGGGTGTTATGTAGTAGTGCACGTGTTTGGGGCCCCTCCTGGCTTCAGACAGCTTTAACAACACCGTTTCACCAGAAGTGAGTTTTATTCCACTCGACTTGAGAAGTTCCAAATGAAAACACAACCAAAGTTATTCCTGTAAGTTGGAATACGTTTCATAATGGGAGTGAGTTAACAATAACAAAGTGGAGCCCCGCTTGTCCCCTCACCCCCCTCCCCCCGAGCCGTGCACCTCGCGGGGTCGCGCCTTGGCACTGTGTCGTGGTGGTTGCGTGGACGCGCAGTGCGTCTCTGCTCCTTTAAGTGGGGGGGGGGGGCGGGGGGGGGATAAACGGTTCGCGCGCCGCTTCTCTCCCACCCTGCGCCCGCACCCCGGAGGCCCCGCTCCGGAGGGAGGAGAGGAAGCCGCTGCGCCGGAGCTGCGATGGGGATTTGAACGCACCTCGCGGGCAGAAAGACAGCGCCCGCACGGCCCGGCTCAGAGCGCAGCGGGCGTGTCCCGCCTCACTTCACCCCCCCCCTTCCCTCTCCCCCCCACCCACCCCCCCCTCACACGCAACCCCCTCCGCCCCGGTTTGGACGTAACTTGATCGGATCCAGCCTGCTGACTGAGCGGTTGGTTGGGTGGTCGGTGGTCGGTTGTTGCTTGGAGCTGGAGGCCGGGTGCAGGACAGCGTCTGCCCGGGCTCTCGCGTCCGGTGGCGGAGAGTCACCGTCGGTCGGTCGGTCGGTCGTTTCCCGCTGGAGATCGGAGCTCGCAGGGACCTGCTGGTGCGGCTCTCTGGGGTTTTTGTGCGTTTCCTTTCCGGGGCTTGACTCCGTTGCACACGGGATTAACCGATTGACGCTCCGGTACCCCGGGGGTTGGATGTGTGTTTTGCCCCGCAGAAGTCCCCTGGAGTCTGGGCGGAGAGACGGGTTCGATGGCGCAACGGGTGCGTAAAAACACACACTTTTAAGTGGGAGCTCGGAGGGCGAGTGACTCCTCCGCAGGATCAATGAAGCGAGTTTATTCAACCAAAACTGAGACCAAACTGGATTTAAACTCTTAAACTAATAAATACACTGAGCCTATTCGGGAGTGTAATTATTATATTCATATTACGGTTTTATCGCTTGAAGCGAAATTATATTTACAATTTTCATTTTCATCAACTAGTAACGAAGACAACTTTCTCTCGTGCGTAAAAATTAGGAAATAATTATTACGTTTGCTTTTGAAAGTGTTTCCGACTAATACGATACAATAAATGTTAATAGCGAGGAGCTATTATGTGTTCGTATTAACGTTTTGTTTTTCAATATCATTTGTTTTATTTAAAAAGAAAAAAAAGCATCAATGCAGACTTCTCTGAAACGTTTAAAATAAATGAAACCAAACAATAATTACGTGTCTCCTAAAGCAAGAGAAAAGATACTTTTAACAAACTTGTAAACAGAACGTCTTCAACAAAGCTCATTTATTTAATAGTGGATAGTAGAACGTTGTGATCACATTTTTTTTAAATGTATATTTCCTTTTTGGGGATTTCGTCCCCCAGTTTGGATTTATGCCACAAGTTTCCGAACATTTCATTTCACAAACACAACTTGTGCGCGTTGGAAGCTCGTTTCCGCTCCTCGTGCTGTCGGCCGCTCGCGCTCCGAACTCAAACTTTGCGTTTCATTGATCAGCGATCACATCGCGCGCGCACAGAGACACGAGCTCCTAGTTGACCTTTATGAACATAAAAAAAGTTCAAAACCTCAACGCGTGTTTATGTGATTTAAACCTTTACGCTCAGTGGAAACCTGTTGCTTCTTTTCAAATCCGGGAAATAAACTAAACGAGGAAACAAACGGCTCTAGAAACGTTTTTAAGCAAAGAAGAAATAAGGTGAATAATGAAACAAAATCCTCGTTGTTTGCCTTTTTGTATCTGACGTGTAGCAAATGTTATGAATATATCTGGTTCTTTAAAAGAACAAAAAGAAAAAACATGCTCTTATTTTAAATTTTAAATATTATTTATTTTCTTTTCGCTTTGGAGATTAAACGTTTTACAGTCTTTTTAAAAATAGTGTCAATTGACCGTAAAACACACAAAGACCCGCAAAACACGTCCTTTAAAAGACGAACACGGTTGTAAACTTCAGTTGCTTCAATTAAAAAGACAACTGACTCCTGTTGTAATAAGTTTACTGTTTTAACCAAACGTTAACATGAAGATTGAAGCATTAAAAAGTTCGAACTTGTTTCCATTGACTACAAAATAACGCGTAATGTAAATAATAATAATGTTCCCACTAAATACGCATTTTGCTGCAGGAATCGACGTTTTAGAAAGATTACTGTTTTCATTCTGAAAATATTTGTTTCTTTTAGAAAACTAACAGAGAATGAAAAAAAGTGACTATTGTTACGAATATTATCTTAATGGATTATTCACAGTGCAGAGACACTTTTCTACGATTTTATCTAAATATTGAAAAATCAAAAGTTTCACAGTAAATAAACCAGGGTGGACATAATAGTAGGAACACCTGCACAATGTCAACTAATACAACATTCCTCATTTAAATATTTCTTTGTTTGAATTCCTTTGTGTTGTAAGATGTTCATGTCAGTTTGTGGGTCTCTGTGAGTTCGATATGTGGAATCAGGATGGAGATTTTTGAGATATTTTGAAAAGTCGACCTAATAGTTTACTTAGTTATTTAGGACGTAAGCTACTAATCTGTGACTTAAGATCGTGACTGTTTGTTTAGAAGTATTTGGTATTTTAAAAAAACACGACGAAATAAACAATTAAGAGGTGGTTGGACATAATAATGGGAACACCTGTAGCTGTATTTTGGATAAAGTTCGAGCGGGTCCTTGACTTTTCTCTCTGGTCATTTGGAGTATTTTAGTTCTATTAAAGTGTTTTTTTTCTTTTGCATAAATGGAAAGAAACACCTCAGTTCGGCTCTTTTTCACTTTATTTGTCACACCGCGTTACTTTTGTAAAGAAACAGCTTTTTGTTTGTTTATTGAGACGTTGCTGCTTTTTAAAATCAAACACAACCCGTCTCGACTATCTGCGTCTCGACTCCTCCCGAGGGTCAGCGAGCAGCTCCTGCAGGGGGACTCTGGGGGGGTCAAAGGTCACCCGTCTCCTATCTCTGTGTTTCAGTATGAAGACTTGGCCCACTACGGGCTGGAGGGCGTGGGGGGCGGGGTCTATGGAGACCCGCACCACCACCACCACCACCACCACGCCGCCCGCTCTCTGCAGGCCGTGCACATGGCCGCCGCCGCCGCCGCCGCCGGTGCCGGTGGGGGTGGTGGAGGTGGTGCGTACCCTCTGCACCAGTACGCCCAGTCCACCCACACCAGCAGCAGCATGGGCGCCACAGCCGGGGACGCCGTCAAGAGGGACAAAGACGCCATTTATGGGTATGATGAGTTTACACTGTGGGGGGGAAGGATAGAAAAAGGCTCTTTCAGAGAAGTTTTCTTCTTCTGTGAAAACGGTTTCTCGCTGCGGTTTGAATCACCGCTCTGAGTTCTCACTGTTCGGGGGGGCCGAGCGGTTCCGTTCCAGGCCGAGCCGAGCCAGGCCGGCGTTATCTGCGTGAGTTACACGAAGTGAGGCCTGCAGCTGCTTTGAGGTCAACGCGGAACCAGACGGCGGGAGAAGTTTACTTGAGTGAAAAAAAAAAGAAGCAGAATCTCAACGTTAAGAAAACGCCATTCAGTCAAAATACGAGTTTGAGCAGAAAATATCGAAAGTAAAAGTTCTCATCAGGCAGAAGAATTAAATGTTTATCGGGGAATCAATGTAGAAATTGCATTTCGATTAAGCCAAAGCAGCTTTATTTAAAGATCATATTTTATTACAAAGACACTCATCACGCTGCTTAAATGTAGCCGTAAAGTCAATGTGATTAAAAGTATAATGTTTTCATGTGTATTAAAATAGAAGTATGAAGTGGATTCAAATTGATAATGAGAGAGACGAGTAAAGTTGTACTTTTGTACAAAGTAAATCCTCACACGCTTATTTCTAAACATGCAGCAAAATTAAACTAAAGCGCTTTCCTTCTTTCAATTTCCTCCCTTCTTTCTTATTTCAGTTACATATTTTATTTCCTCCCTCATTTAAAAAAAAGACTGCTTAACCTTTTCATCTAAAAATATTCTAAATAATCGAGCTGGAGGATCAGCTGATGCTCTTCAATCTGCTGAACAATGGGGACTTTATAAACTCCTCAGAGGATTCATTTCGCTACTTAATCCCCCAAAAATGATTTTAGTCTATAAAATTACATAAAATAGTATAAAAAATGATCATTTCTAGCAGCGTACGGTTGTGTTGTTGTTGCAAATCAGCACATTCTCACGTTTGAGACGTTTGAACTTCTGAATATCTGCTGCAGCTCCTCTGGCTGCGTCCACATGGACGCTGACCTTCGGATTACGGGCAGTAATCAGATTACTTCCTTTAATTTGTTATCCTGTCTTTGTTAAAGGGATGAGTCTAATCTTTGGAGTTCCTCAAGGATCAATTCTGGGCTCTTTTCATCTTTAAATTGTATTACAGTGTCACAGCGGGTCCTTTAATTTTACAAAAACATTTTGTCCTCATCATGAACACAAGACGAGATGCGTGAATCCAAATATCACATCAGTTTCCTCGATTTCATCCATATTGGAGTTATAGCGATATATCCAAAACAGAAAAATGATTTTATTTTACTGTTTGGACTTTTAATTGTTAGTTTTGGAGCAGAATTGTGTCGTAATGAGTAAATTAAATGAGCTCCCCGTGTCACCTTGTAAATGTGGACAGAAGGCCGCTTCTTTCACATCTCGTTTGTGTCCATAAAGATCCACGTTGTGCTTCCTCCCTTTAAAACATTTCCTCACTTCCTAGCAGAACCGCGCATGAACGTTTGGGTTTCGTTCGTCAAAGGTTTTGAGAGTTCTGCGCCGTCTGATCGGTCGGTCCTCCCCATCAAAAGTACGGACTTTCACTATGAGCTCAGCGAGGACGGCGCAAAGAACTCTAATCGTTTTCGTG